GTAAAAAATCTGCAATATAATAAATTATATAGTTAACTGACATAGTTTTGATCAAATAGTCGATGTGACACCCCAATAATATATCGTAGAGATTAAGGTTGTCGATCTATCCAGCCTATGTAGACAACCTGGCTGAAATTCCATGTATAAAGTCGAATATACGGGTTAACGACACGCTGGATATAACAAATTTTAAGATTATCGTGGGTTTATTTATAACGGTAGTTATGTATAGGGTACGCATTTAATTTATTTATTAGCAGAAAGAGTTGTGCTCTTTATTAGTTTACCCGTCATATTCTACATTTCAAATGGTAGCGGTATGAAACCAAATCCGTGGTTCCAAACCTTGGGTAAGAACTGTAGTTCAAACAACTATACATGGTCTAGTGGTTCAAACCATTATATATCTTTTATCTTTATTGGAAAAGGAAAATACTATATTTCAGAGAAATGCACTAACTAAATATAAGAAATTGTCACGTAAAGAAAATTAAGCAAAAATTTCTCGTAATACCATCCATATAATCATCGTTTATTTTGTAATGATTGTATATAGTATAGCTTGGCTGATTCGTTACACATGTCACCGGACCAATTGATGTAAGAATGTATTTTTGAGCACAACAAATATAATCGATAGATATTTAATATCATCCTTTTGAAAATTACAGGCCACAAAATTTTTCATGCTGTTATACAGTAATACAGACAAGAAATTGTTGAATCGGTTATAAATTCTTAGCAAAATGTGTGAACTGTTCTAATTCGATTCTCACCTCTAATACTATGATCTATGCTGTACGGTTCAGATTTATCTTTTAGAAAATAGGGTTATTGTATGTAAAACTGCTCAATGATATTTCCTGCTTTATATTTAATAGGCGACTATAGTAGCTACGATTTCAAATAGCAAAAAATAACCAGATAAAATTTAATTATATCAGCGAACCTGATTTTATCATATTCAAGAACTCATGACTAATGTATGACTTAAGTATGACTATAGTACCACACATTACGAATCATTACTTAAACTAAAATTTCTTCTATTTTAATTTAAAAAAAACATTGTATTACATCCCTAAGTCACAGGTCATAGAAATTGTTACACCATATTATCACTAGGTATATATATAAATACCACATGCTCTCTTTTGTATCGCAAATAAGAATATATAAATGAAAGGATTATAAATATCGATATACATTTGATAAATTCAATACCTTTCGGATAAAAAAACATGACCATCGTGCAACCAAATCGGCGTTTTAGCTTTATTATCCGAAAGACATTACAATGATCACCATCTGATGTTTGTGTATGTTTTCATAAAATTAAGAATTTTAATTATTGACGGATAATACTTAAATTCAATCCAGGATTTAATAACTTTAAAGTCTGTATGAATATGCCCTCTAATTCAAATAAAAAAACTTGGTCTGAAGTTGCTGAATTTATTAAGCAAGAATCGATTAAAGCGTATAAATACAGTTCTTTTAAAAATTTAGAAAGAGTTGGTGAAGGAGGATTTGGGACTGTGCGTCGCGCTTATCTAAAAAACACCGAAACCGAGCAAATAGTAGCTTTAAAAAGCCTTACTAACAATAGTGCGGATGAATTCATTAAAGAGGTACTATTTTATTAATCTATATTATGTACTCACTTTAAAAGGTTATGAACTTGATATCAGATATACTAATTTCACACATAATTATATTTATTTATTAGATTAAATATTTTAGCGAAGTTGGTAAACACGAAAATATCGTAGAATTCTTTGGAATTACTAAAGGTATGTTAAATTATAAAACAGACAAATAAACTTTACAATACATCTAATCAACAAAATTTTATAAATTAGATCCTAGAAATGAAACATATCATATGGTCCTTCAATTTGCCAACAATGGAGACCTTCGTTGTTATTTACATAATAATCCAAAATTAAATTGGTCGATAATAATTAGAATGGCAAAAGAAATTGCTGATGGAATCAATTGCTTACACAGTGCAAATATCGTTCATCGAGATCTTGTAAGACTTTTATTATTTAATTCATTTAAATTTCTGTATATTCAACGTAAAGTATTTAATAAATTTAATCATATTAAATAGCATGATAAGAATATATTGGTGCATAATAATAGACTGTTAATCACAGATTTTGGTTTATCCAAAGCATTAGAAAGTAGCTCAAAATCTGTTCATGGCGGAATTTGTGCTTTCATGGATCCACAATATCTCGCGAATGAAAATAAATATAAGCGAGAGAAACCTAGTGATATATATAGTCTCGGTATGCTATTCTGGGAACTGTCAAGCGGCGTGCCTCCTTTTAGAGATAAGGCTAACCTGGGAATAATGCTATACGTAACCTCAGGCCAACGAGAAACTCCAATTGATGGAACTCCAATTGACTTTTTAAATATTTACGACAGTGCTTGGGGTGGTGATCCAGATCTACGCCCAAATATCGCCGAAATACGTTGCATGTTAGATAAGATACAAATGGATATAACTAGTTATAACGAACAAGGCAAAAATAAAATGTATCAGTGCGTAGAGAAATCACCACGATTAAATTTATATAGCGCTCGGAAAGCAAGATTTATTAGTCATTTCGCTTTGAATAAAGGTAGAAACGTTGATGGATTTGATTTTTGCCAGGGGAAAGGATCTATTATGCGTAATTTTGGGGATATAAAAACAAATAAAATACATATGCTTCCTCCAATTATCTATCTTCCTAATAAAGATTTTTCACCTTGGACGTATTTGAGAAATTCGAGTTTGTTTACGAATCAAGTTGACCCAAAAGTTTCAAAAGACGAAATTGTACGAATCCATATTCCAATTGTAACTGTGCAATACACATGTAAAGCAGCAAGTGAGTTCATTCAGGATATTAGAAGTGCACTTAATACCTCCGACCCGACAGAAATTAAAAGGAAATTAGAGATGACATTTAATTATTATGGCAACTACATAGTTACAAAAGCTACACTTGGTGGTGCCATTACTATTAAAGATTGGTCAAAAATCCCTGATGAAAGTAAATCATATTTAATGTGCTACATTCAGTGGGGAATTGATTATGTTAAAGGGAATGCTTTAAACGTTTTTGAAGATGTAGTACTTGATAAATTACCACGACTTGAGGCTTCATCCAATATAAAATTTATTAGAGATCTATATACTTGGTTTAAAAATTTATATGATTATAAGTTTGCAGAAATTATATCATATGATGAATATATTCCATCTTACGAACTATTACCAGAAGAGTTACAACAACAATTATGTAATGTTAATGGGTTTAAACCCGTTAAAAATCCTCTCAATATATTAGTTCCAAATATTTATACTGGATATGATGCACATGATATTAAAGAATGGATAGCATTGGAACCACTACATAATTTACATCTTTGCAATTGGGTTTACATTAATGAATTGCAGCATGGTGTAATTTTCCAACGTTCAAAATTAAAACGTGGTCAAAAGGCTGCATTTAAATTTCTAAAGGAACCGAAAATAACTAAAGTAAATGAGCTTATTGTCATATTATCACAACCAAAGACGGACCAAGAAGCCTACATGTTTGAAAATGGTATAATTTTAAATGAGAGAGATGGATTAGAACTTGATAAAATCCCCTTTACTGAATATAACTCAGCTTTTAATGTTCCTCTAGAAGATTTCAGATATTCTAAACATCAGCACTCTAATGCAATTTATTGTCAAGTTATTTTTCATGCAATCAATATTTCTTTTGACCAATCAGACATTAAACATTTACAAGAATTTTCAGATGCACTAAATTCTGAACTTCATAGCAAAGAGCCATTTAAAAATCTTTGCAGGTTATTTGGGAAGGATTACGGACATTTATTGCCAAGAACTTTTATGTTTGGTGGAGTTTTATCAAAAAAATATATATCAGGTAATAATCCCACAAACATTAAAGAACGAAAATTTATATTCAATGAAAATGATCCTAATGCACTCAAAGAAATTGAAGATCATTTAAAGGCATGGAATGTTGAATTTAAAGATGTTGACACTTCAATATTCCTTAACAATAGAGGGGATGCTGTTCGTCGCAACGAAATTGAAGAATGGTGGCAAACTCTTGCTAATAATCCTAACAACTGGGATATTATATCTTTAGAAGATTGGATGCCAATATGTCATATAGTTTTCAAGGGGGAGATTTTATTACAAGGTCAAAATTTTGCAATTATTATATTTCCTAAACCACTTGTCAATAACAATTATCATGTCGTTGGAAATGTTTTTAATAAAAATGGAGATTACTGGGACAATGATCCAGAAGCAACAGTCATATTTGATCAAATTAATGAAAGTATTTGTAAAGCACGTATCCAAAATAATTTCGGAGAAAGGTAAATTTATAATTGTTCAATTATATTCTATTTATTATTATTATATTATTCATCATTATTTAATTTATCTCGTTTATCAACTAAAGTTTACACAAAGATTCCAAAATCTGTTGGTATGTGCTAAAAGGACAGTAAGGTCGAGAACATTGGCGACCAATACAGTAAGTCTTACGATATTCTATTTACTATCAAACCTTTTTTATTGCTATTGCATAATATAAACATTTTAATTTTATTAAAAAAAAATAGTCTATTATCATTATTAATGTCTAATTTACTTATTTTGTAGTTAATAATTCATGCGTATAAATATTTATACAACTTAGGACGTCATAAATTTAGAAATCCACTATGATCTCTCATAGTTAGTTTTGATTGGCCCACTTCGCATTACATAATAATTGATTTTTACTAGCGTAATCATGTAAACTACTCAATAATATAGGCAATATCTTTGATAATTTTTTATAAACGGAAATTTTATGCTATTATGTATTATATATAAATGCCATTATAGAGATGCTTTGTAGTGTTTTTGTATTGTATATAAAATTATTTTTATTTATTTTCTACTTTAAAAATTGACTTTGAACCTCTTGCCATTAGTAGCATATTTTATTAAAAGTTATTTAATCTGCATTTCAGACAGATTTTAAGTAAAACTAAAGTATAAATCATATAACGCATATTTTTATACAATCTTATTTAACTTAACATAATTAATTGTTGAAATTTAAGAAAACAAATGCCATTCATTATTCTAAGATAATTATCAAGGGCAAACATTTTTTCTTCCTCCATGAGGTTATTCTATATACGATCTAGCCACATAAGTTTAAAAACCTTAGTGATTAGATATCGCGCGAACTTCAAACAGATATGAACCGATGCTTGCGCTTCACTGAATTTCATAACTAAGCAAAATCCAGAAAACTGATACTACATGGATATATACACGAATGTTTCACTAATATAAGGGTTGTTGACCTTGCATAATCCCAGAGATTTTACATTTACTAAAATTTATGAGTTATTTTATCCGTTTTATGCAGAATCTAGAGTCTAAAGCAGTATATCTATACGGTTCATTAAAAAAAACACTACCGATATTGGAATATGTGTATATATAATATTCAATATTTGCTATGACATAGAGGCCATATACAGAATTACTATATTCGGAACTAAGAAAACATTCAAAATTTCTAATATATTAATTTAAGAGATTCGAATTGAAAATACTTTTTATTGCGAAAAATATTGATATTATAGTTTAATATAAATAGGGGTATAAAAAATATTGTAAAATCTTAAAAGTTCTGTAATTTAAATATTTACTTAATGTGAAAATTTATTTTAAATAATGACTTAGATTAGATAAGTTGTTATGTTATCGTGCAAACTCTTATAATCATAGATTTTTTCTCTTGTTATTTTTTGTACATTATTGCATAAGTACAACAATCTCAAATTAAAACTTAGTTAGAAAATAATAAATGCACGATAACATCAATATTGGATCATACGATGATATTAATCGCTGCATGACAATATCTTATAATTAAAGCGTACTAAATTTACGAATCTTCAAGGAGTACAGTAGTTCAAATGTAAACTATAAAGTAAATTATTTGCAACACTAGAAATGCTGGTGAAATTAATTGCAATAATTCAATATTAATTTCAAAAATAGTTGTGAGATTATTTCACGAGCTTGTTTGTATATTATCTTATCTAACTACCTTAACATAACCAACCAAGGCATTAAGATCTTCAGATACATTATCTAGTGATTTAACAATAGGGTATTTCTTATGAATGTTTAAAATAAGAGGATTGCCTCGAAAATCTGAATAATGGATACTTGCAAATACGCATTTTGAGAGGGTAGGCAATTGCCATTTGTTTCCAGTAAAGGTATGACTATTTCTCAATAGGTATTGTAGCATGCAGGGTCTATAATCCCACTCATGATTGACTGGGCTGACAACTTCGAAATCGGGGGTGTCTGATATAATTGCGCAATTAGCCTTAAACTTTAAAGTATTGCTAATTAGATTATTTTGGAGATCATATTGATAACAACATATTTTTGTACCATTATTTGCTGCATTATTACGGAAATTATAACTAATAACATCATTAGAATGCCCAAAATTATATGCGGGATTATCATTATACTTTAAAATGCAAGTTCCTAACCAGCAATATTCTTCAAAATTTAAATACGGATGTTCGAATGTTTGAATGTTAGCATTATTAGTATCATACTGAAAGTTTTTAGTCCAAATATAATCAACAGGATAATCTTTGAACGGTTCGATTGGTAGATCCTCTGCATAGCCAATTAGCATCCAAGGAATTGAGAGCTCAAAATAATTTTTCGCCGGACCAATTCTGTGAACTACAATATACGGATTATCATCATCCATATAATCGACTCTAATTCCAATCACATTTCGATATGGTCTTGCATTATTCATTACAATAGCAGAAGTGAATATCTTAACGCCTCTAAATGTAGAAATTACTTGAGGTTTCGGGATCTTTTTAGTTATGCTGTCACGGTTTCTTGGTATTTGAATGGACAAGATTTCATGATGTAATAATTTCATTCCTATGACCTTTTTTATCCTTAAAATAAGTTCTTGTGGTAATAAATTATATAATGACAATAACTCGTTGTGTTCAATAATTTTCCAATTTTTAAAAAGCCTCAAAATTTCCAACCCATCAATGTTATTGGCTTGTCCATCATTCACGTAAAGTTTGCCTCCAAGTTCAACTTCTTTTGACCTATTTGTTATTAAAATTATAGTAATAAAATATAATATTATAAAAAAATTTAATTTAAAAAATTTATACTAACCAGAAAAATCCGAATTCTTCCCCTACCCTAACTAGGGCTTCTCTTTGTTCTTGATTATTTTCAGAATGATTTAATGCATTTCTAACTGCATCGATATATTCTTTAGTAGGCTCCAAATCTTCCTGCAACAATCTAATAGAGCCTTTTTTTAGGATAAGCAATTTTCTCCCAGGACCTGCGTTATGCTGTTCAAGTTTCTGATCAATAATAACATCCATCATATGCGGCCTCCTGATACGAAAAGCGCTTTCGTTTGCTGACACAATGTTACCATTTTCAGTTTTTTTAAATCCTTTGTCTATATGAAGTCTATCTACAATTTCGGGAAAGCCTGGCATTCTTAAGTCTTTTTCCAGGTAAAAAGAATATGAACCATCTTGTGCCTCTTCATTTGTCGGAACTAAAATATCTTTAAGTTTACACTCAGATTCTCTGGCGAGAGGTATCTTATTTTCAAATGCATTTCGAAAATTAGTGTTTTGTCGACCAATTAACACTAAACTTTCTTGGCATAAGTATTCCCGCATTTCGTCCAATGACATTAACAAAACTTTACTAATATCCGGCTCTCTCAAATCAAATGGTTTAGAAGTTCCATCACTGTTGACCACAACTCCTGTTATTTTAAGTGGTGTAATGTCGTTAGCGAATTCAAGATACTCCATAACGATAGAAATTTATTGAAAACATTTATCACTTGTCCGGATTGAGAAAACTAAGATGCTTTTATGCACAATCGTGTACGTAACACTGCATGATAGATAAACAGTATCCGTTAAATCCTAAATTTTAAAAGATATAACAGTTCCATTTTCTAAGTTACACATAAGTTTACCTTGTATCTATTTTTTGGTGAATTATTTGTTGTTTATTTATGATGTACATGCACGGAGTAACGTAACTTTTTTCAAAGTGTAATGATAAGTGGTCACAAAGTATATAATAAAGTAAGGCAAAACGATGAATATACTGTATTATGACTGTATGACATAATATACGAAAAATAAATCTCGATAGTACGCACGATTAACAGAGTATGTAAAATTAACCCCTTATGCATTCGCTTCTTACCGTATAACCGCGAAATAACGCGCAGGGGTGTAATTTCAAATTTCGGCCTAAATTAAGCTTAAATTCGGACCAAACTTCAAAATAACGCCCCTGTGCGTTATTTCGCGGTTATACGGTAATTATTAGATTATTTGCTAAATAGCTCTTTTTTGTTATATAAGGTAATTGATAATTTTTTAATGAAATTTCTTTTTGTAGCGGAGGACTCTTTGTTTTTACGACAACAAGTGTGTCACTTGATCTTGTCTGTGCTGCGCTTATGATTGGCTGAATACGCTGTATGACACTACGATCACTTTTTTATATCTATACTTTATAAATATCAGGTATATATTATGTATATAATATTAATAGTACAGTAGCTCCGGACTAACAATGCTGCGTATTTCCTAGTTTTAACACTGTTTCTTACTCCGAAATGTGTTCGTTTAAGCATAAAACATAATTAACATAAAGTTAACAATGCATGACTAGTGATTGGTCGCCCGCGGTGGGCAGAAGATCCGTGTTGAGTTTTGGCAACTCGGGTGAAGCGGGTTATACGCGAGTCTACCTGTATTAAGTATCTTATCCGGTTAAAAATAAATCTTTATTACAGATATTATCATAAATTCTGGGACCAATAAAAATTTGCCGAATATGCCGATTCGGTCAACCACCCTAGCATCATCATCCTAAAATTTTCTCTACTATTTCTCCAGCCAACCGGATTTCAGGATAAGGTGTAACGCGAAGAAGTGCAAGAAATCAAACCAAATCAAAAAATCATTCACAAATCAACATTTTTACCTATGATGTTCACTAATAAAAAACTTTCCTTGCGAAATTTTGGTATTAAGAAAGCTCTTTCTAACGTAAGTTGGTGGCGCTAGGGTCTATTAATTTCGGTACGATCGATATACAACATAAGATATATGTGTTGTATTGTCAAGAAATATAGAAATCCCTTTATAACAACGCTTATATAACGGCCTGATGATACATGTACATTTAATAAATTGACTATAACGTTATGGAAACTACTATTTAGATATAAATAAAAAAAATAAAAAAAATACAGCTAATGGTATAAGGTGTATAAAAACTTTAAGAAATAAATATATAAATTTGTATGATAGCTAAATGCAGATTAAACTATAAAAGAATCAAAAAAGAAAAATTTTGAAAACATAATGCTGGCACACATTCAAATACCGCTATAAAGCATATACGATGCATTGTTATTCTAAAATTTTAACTATTTTAAGAAACATCCTTGCATCACCAAAATTGTAAAGACTAGGCAATGCTAAATAAGGTAAGTAGGAGCGAAATAAATACATAAAATAGGCAAAAACGATGCATTACGTACGTACGTACAAATATATAGTCAAGCATAATTTAAGTAACATCCTGTCTTAGCAACATATGATGTTTTAAAATCAATTCTATCGGATATTAGATTAGTTACTTATTTGTCTAGAACATACGTGTTTACAAGCAATTATATGAGACACTAGGTTGATTACTTGTTTGTCTAGAACTTATGAGTTTATAAACTGAATGCGTTTGGCCAACTTGTATTCCAGATGGAAACAGATTTTTTGCAATTTCTAGAGAACTAACCGAAGGCCAACAACTAAAATCCTCATTGGTTAAATAGTCGGTTAGATTATCATTTGTGGTTATATACTCCAAAGCATCTACCATCAAGTAACGGACCAAAAATCGCTTCAATGCAGTCAATAATTCACAAGCAGAAATCTGATTCTGAAATTGTTTATCGAAGAAAGTAACTTTAATTATCTGCATTTCCATGTCCTGCGATAGTGGGACTTTATATTTCGCATCTATGCAATCAAATGTGTATGTCTTCACATTTTCCATCCTTTCATATAGACTAATTAGATGTTTGAGACATAAATCAGTGCTGAACTTTCATAAAAATCTGCATTTTCTGTCAAGATTAACAAATCCATTTGCTGAGAAATATAATCCTTAATAGATGTTTCACAATCAAGTTTACAGTTGACACTGCATATTATCATTTCTATAGCAGGAAGCATTTTAGATGCATTCTCAGATGAAAATGATTCGTCAAGCACATGATCATAAAGGACTGATGAGTCTCTATTTGCAATTGTAAGCGGCACTTGATCAACAAATTCTTTGAAATTTGCGAAAATGCAAAAATTTCGCGAGAACATTTCTCCAGAATACGGAAACGCGCCAAAAGTGTTACAAATAAAGAATTTATTAAACACCAACTTATGTGCGAGTTCCATTTCTATTTGACGTAAATCATATGCGATGTCTTCACCATAGCGGATCTCTAGATTCCGTTGGCTATATTGCAATATTTCATCATTCCATTCATAATCAATAAAGTTAGCGCGTTGTGCTTGTTGAATCTGCACTGTTTGAAGAAAGTATGATGTTCTAGCATTTTGTGTTGTGGATGTTGAAGGTGCGTTTTCTACATTATTTTCTAAAAATTTAAGTGATAAGCACGAGCCAAACGGAATATCAATCGTTTCTTCCAAGAACAGATTTTGCAATTCAATCAAGTAAGAAAGAATGGCAGAAAGATAAATCCCAAAATCAGTTTCTTCTGCCAAACCATACATAACTGACGATTGGAGCGAAATTGTGGGAAATTCCTCAAATTTTTGACATCCGAATTGCTTTATATATGGTGCTACTGTATTCCACGACTTTTCAAATTTTTCAAATGCTGATTTCAATGCTAAATATATTTCTTGGAGTTCACCTTCATTTGATTCCTGTTTTATGAACTTATCAAACGTCATTTTACGAGCTTTTTTCCTGGTGATTTGATAATCTAAACGTGTTTTAAGAATTTGAACAAACTTCAAAATTGGTATAAGATTTTTTATGAGCTTCAATTTCTCTTTGTGCTTGAAAAAAATTTTCAAGAACTCCTTTTGGCTTAAATCTCTGAAATATTTGCGACCGAAACAGGGATATATTTAGCCCCCAATTATTGGTTGAAACACCAAAGGTGTTCTAATTTATTTTTCGTGAGGAAAATGAATTGAAAAGTTTGAAATATTTGCGACCGAAGCAGGGGGATACGCTAATTTTGGCCTTTTTGAGTTTTTTTGTTTATCAAATTCAAAAGAAAGAAAGGAAATTTAGGTTTATCTTTGTCAATCATGTAGTAAGAATGCAAGCTTTCAAAGCTCACATCTTTGATCTTTCTCCAGAGTCTAGGTAGTTTCTCATGATAATATTTTGGATCCTTGCTGATAACATGTCATCAATCTCCTCTTCAGTTTCACTTATTCTATCCTTCGACATTTTAATCCGGATATCTTGTACTTCAATTATCACATTAGAAATATCATGATCTCTGCTAAATTCGTCTTCCCACTCTTCTCGTTTTTCTGGAGTATCCAATCGCCATTCATCTGATGTCGATTCCTTGATCAGTGAGGAGATAATAGAGTGAATCAAGGCCAACTGTTCATCGTTACAATGAAAAATCTCCTTAAGTATCTTCCAATCATTGCGAATATTATTTAGACAATGTTCCATCGTATCTCCTGCATTATTACCATTCTTTGCAAAAAATTTTGATGCGATAGATGATGGTATGGATGCGCCAAGAAGAGTGTGCACGAATAAATGTAAGATGCGATAGGCCTGAGGTGTCATCATGCGGACATTATGTGTTTTTTCTGTTGAAATTTGTTCAACTATGTATCCAGGATCGTGCTTAATCTCTACGGATGTAATCTTTTTTGCATCCAAACGTGTGTATTCACCTTCAATCGAACCATAGCCAATCACTCCCTTGCACTTCAGGCACTTACTCGAAATACTAAATGTAAACGTGAGCATTAGATAATTCAATTAATATCATTATTATTCTTTGAAGGAATGTTACATATTCGCCCGTTTTATATAATTAACTATACCTATATTTCTCAGGAGCTCTTTCCTCAGGGTTCGAAAAGCTTCCACAATCAAGGACAATAAAAATTTCACCACATTTACATCGATACCTTTCAAACCAAAAAGTTTAATATACTTGTATATTGTATGCCAAAATGCTAGAATATTATCTTATTACCTGGTGACACCGCTTCCCGCACCATCTTCATTTCTTTGGAAAAGAAAAACGACAATTTATAGTTGTATATTAGAAATGTAATAAAGAGAACGTATTACATGCAGAATTTTACAGGACTTCATTGATCTTTCTGAGATTTCATGATTTAACTAATTCCACATATAAATTTATACTATTATAATGCAGAATTTGTGTGCGGAATTATTTTCAAAAAACATTATAAGAATTTGCAAACTCTAAAGTTTAGTAAAATCCTGTAAATTTCTGGAAGGAATTTTCAACGAAATTGTACCTAAAAGAGGCAACCGTATTCATAACAACACCTTCTACGTCTGATGGACATGTCAAAATGAAATCATTTTCACAAACTTGCAACTGATGGAGGTAAGCAGCAAGTGGACTTGCATCGCTTGGAATGGAAGCGTGCAGTATTAATAAATGCACAATGACTGATTTTATCAGTAATTCATCAACTTCGTTGTCTTTGAGAAATTGAATCAGAGAATTGGAATTTGATAGCAGCATTTTAATTATTTCTTTATATTTTGGAGAAACATCCATGGTATCTATTTCTTTAGTTAAATAAGCAGCTACTTTTTCTTCTTTTTCTATCAAATCGCGTGAAGCTCTTGTATAATGTAGGCGGGAGGCAATTACTCCAGCAAATATAACGAGGTCATTATTTTTCAAAGATTTATTATTATTATTATTATTAGAATTATTATAATTATTATTATTGCTTAACAACCAATTACGGATAGCTTCTGTAGCATTACTCGCAGCATTACTTATCGTTTCCACACCCGATCGCATCATTTCAAGGTAAGATGGATCCACTTTTTCTAATTGAACTGTTTCTAAATATGATGCAAAACTCGATTTAGCAAGCTTGGATTCCTCGTAAACGTGATAGTAGTAATCTTCCGCATTTTTGTAGTCTTGGTGCAACCAATATGGATTGGAAAAAAGTTGATTTTCCTCATTGCCCCAGGGTATTTCTCTAAGCCAAGGAAAAGGTTGCTCCTGTGATTCACATAATTTCCTAATATATCCCATTGAAAAATTACATAATCGAAGGTATTTTAGAAAATATATTTTAAGAGAATGAATCCTCGGCGATCTCAATCCAATGTAATTGTTGATATCACGTATAATTTGATTTGTGCAAGTAAAGGTGGACATCCTAGTTCTTGCTCTTAGTGTAGTGGTGCTACCATTGTGGAAAGCGCGTTTGTACTCTTGCAGAGTGATTGTTTGCATCCCAAAAAGTACGTACATATTCCTTCAAGAAAGCAATAATAGATATAATTTGCAATGGTTCTACAATGGTGGTAGACAGTGAATCAACAGCATTGGGAAAATTTTAATCAGTTCATAATTCATGAAGAATGTTTTTTGGATAATATCACAAGACAATGCAGCTATTGGCGAGTTCAGATCATCTTCTTTTAATAGATCATTGATAATCTTCAGATCTGGTAAACTTTCGAAAACTTCCTGTGGATTTACGAGCAAGTCAAAAAACACATTTTGATGCCTTACTCTTTGATACTTTTCATATTCTATGATAAAAACACGCCGAATGACAGAACTCGCAAATGTGAAAGGCTTAGGTTTAAAAAGCAGTTTATAAAAAAGTTGGAGAATTGGAGATGCGAGAGTCGTGATATGAAGACAACGATTTATAAATGAAAATTGCAAATACTTTAATTCATCTGATTCAAGACATGCCATAATCTTATTAACAAACTGTTTAGACCAAATATTTCTCATATCACGCCCCCTAATTGACTTAATAACAGCTCTGAATGATGATGGAACGGTCTCTCTATTTAAACTTGTAAGATCGTTACAAACGTACAACAATTGAAATAATGGCAAGGTAGCCAATTCTGATATAGTAGTACTAATTAATAAGAGTTCAGTAACTTCACGTTGCCATCTTTCCAAATCATGTCCTATGTTTACATCTAAAAGAATATCCCAATCTAGAACATATCGTTTAACTTTCTCAGGAATTTCTTTGATATTTTCATTGTTTTTCTCCTGGTGCATCTTTACTATCGAGAGAACATCTTCTTTGTATTTAGTACATATATCATCTATCATTATGTATGGGAAAATATTTGATACTTTATACGAAAATCTTAATATTTCTTCTTGGAGGTATTGTTCAATTTCTGTATTATTAAATACTTTCTTGTCATTGACCGGAAAATTAGTAGAAAGAGCCTTTTAAAATAGAATTTCAGAACGTTTTCGGAATACTCTGGCTTTATTTTTCCAGGCATTACCATTAATTTCTATTAAAGATTTTTAAAAAGGGTCTACTATAATACGCAAATCGTCAGGATATGTATTGTCGGTTGAGTTGTTGAAGGAAGTATATAAATGAAAATACATTTCTTTGCTTTAGTTAAACAATATAGACCACTCAGAATTAAGCTCCTTTTCTGTCATTGGTAATCGATATTTGAATTTTTTGAATGCGTTTTTCACAATATGTTGAATTTTTTCTTTGAAAAAATTTTCAAGTGTTTCTTGATGTTGCTGCACGAAACCATTCGGAAATCATTTACTATGTCACCGAGGTTGCTCCGTAGCTGTTGAGCCAGTTCTTTGAGGGATTTTGTAAAATCTGATTTTGAGTATGGTAACACTATGTTGAACACAAATTCATCAACTCGTTTCTGAAAGTCTTGTACTTTTGTGTTTAGTATTGCAATTCTATCATTGGTCTTATACGCTATTAAATTAACTGATTCGTTATAATCTGTATAAATTTTATCCACTATGTTGTCAGAAAATTCCTTCGATTTCAACTTTTCTCTAAAATTTTTTAATTCTTCATATAAATATGCACCAACACCCACATGATTACATCCTATTACTCTATGCCGAGGATTCATTTTGTTGACAAGCGTACTAAAATCTTTCAGTGCATTTTCCTTTTCATGCTCTGCCATAGTATATTGAATTTTTTCTTTGCATAAATTTTTAAGTGTTTCTCGACGTTGACACACGAAACCCTTTGGAAAATCTTTGACTATGTCATTGAAATCGCTCCATAGCTGTTCGATCTGTTCTTCGAGAAACTCTTCAAGGTCTGATTTGGAATGTGGTAACACTGTGTTGAATACAAATTCATTAAGTCGATTCTGAAAGTTTTGTACTTCTATGATTAGCTTTGCAATTTTTCTTTTGATATCATTCGCTTTTAAACTGACTGATTCTTTATAATTTCCATAAACTTCATTCACAACATTGTCTGAAAAACTTTCCAATTTCAACTTTTCTTTAAAATTTTTTAGTTCTTCATGTAAATATTCATCAATAACCTTATCATCATATCCTTCAACTTGAAGATCCATTTCGTTGATAAGGTTATGAAAAGCAATTGTCCGTTTTTGGCTAAAGTATTAGCACGAGCAATTTGCATTCTCTCAAAGATAGAAGTGATTTTATATTTTTCTGAGCTAGTGAGCGTATTGCACAACAATTTAGTAAACTCAGCAATATCCTGGCCGGTCCATGGTTTATCTATTCAATATTATTAAGTTAGAAAAGAATTAATGTATAAAAAGTTTTAATAAAAACACCTACCGGCACCATGCTTTGGTTCATTAACATTTAATTGTTCAGAAAATTTATTGCGCATATTCTTAAATGTTTGTTTCCAGCTTTCGTTGAAGTTTTCAAAGTGTAATCTTTTACTGATTTGTATCAGACCATTTGCTGGGAAGAGCCATATCTAAAAGTTAAAGGTGACAATATATCATTATTTGTGTTTATTTTGGTATCATATTTAAATAATTCCAAGAATTCTAATTAAATTGTTTCTTACATCAATACTTTCAAAACAGTCATTCAACAGTTCACGAATGTTGTTGTGTTCTTTGTCAACCCTATGACCGGTCTGAGGCTCTAGCAATGCCTTTTTAATGTCTTCTGGTGTACTATCATTACACGGATTCCATGATTTGAAAATAATATGAAGATGACCGTATGGCTTTGTATTTTGATGCTAATATAAAAAATGAAACTTTAGTTGTATTACATAGTGGTATAAAACGAAAGTTTTATAACCTACTTGATCTTGAGCATCTCGTGTAATTCGTTTCGCCGAAGTTGTTATTGCACCCAGGCTATTAAGTATTGAATTTATTTGAAGATTTCCAGGCCACCAGAAAATTACAATTTTCGAAGTTACAAGGATAGGAGAGAAAAGGTAAAGATCAAACTCCTCGCCTTTATCTAGTGAATATTTAAAAATTTGTTATGTTCTTAAAATACTCGATCGAGTTAAGATGTAATTACTTACTTCCTTGTCCTTCTGTGTCGACAAATCCAACTAAAATATTGTTGTCAATCTCTGGGTCATCATTCAACTTTGAGAATTCCTTAAGTGACACGAATGTTTTGGAAATATCAACCCCTGTCGTTACTGTTTCTGTAGCAGAAGAACTCTTGAAAATCTCATTATCATCATTCACACCAGCTAAGATATTCATAAATGTCGATTTTCCCTCTCTTGTAATAAAATATAACTATTAGAAGTTACACTAAAATTTTTAAACTGCAATAATAGTTACCTTGCTTGACCGAAAATTGAGATAAGATTTACAGTTTCATTCTTGGTGCAAAGTAAGTCGGTAGCGTCTTCTTCAACTTCAATACGCATTTCGGGTTCGCTACCATTATCACCATCACTGTATTCATCAATCACTATCCATTTTAAAGAATTCATGCTTTAAAATTTTGGAGGCACTAGTTTTCGATATTAATACTTATATTGCTATCCAATAAGTTTTGTGAGTTATTAGGAACGAAGTATATTGTCAAATTTGAGCATATGGCCAATTTGACTCTGGTTTTTAAATAGGGATGTTATCCCGCTTAAATTGGTTAGTTCGTGCTTTGAACGGGCATAATGATAATTTGATTTCGTACTTTGATTTAAATTTGTTATGCACATGACTATTGATTATGCTTGCCTTGAATGTGTTATTTTAAAAACCTGTAACTTATTAGAAATATACGTATGTTGTGTCTCAGATCAGTTCTTGCCTCATAAGATAACTGAGGGACGGTGTGGGAAATTTAAAACTTTTCTTTATATTCAATAGTGATAGGTAAATGATAAAAGATAAAGTCTATACTAAATTTGTCATTTCTTAAAAAAACCATTGTGCATAATTTAGGAAATACTTATTTTCAGTGTGCTACTGTACGTATGTACTACGTAGTTTTACGCATTATGTTATAAATCTCTATTCTTTATCGTTATATTTTTTATTTGGGATTGACATTTCCTAAGTATTGCCGGCCATAATCCTTTGTTTCACTAGTTGGTAATTTGAGCATCTTAAGAGTGATTCAAATATGCATATGTTATTTGTATTTTTAATACATTGATAATATGCGTTTCTCCAAATATTATTCATAAGCAAATAACATTCTTTCCAAAATTGCAGCTTATCATGTATTTTTTGTAATGTCGGACAGTACAAAATATCCGAAAACTTTTTTTTGTTCTTTGAGATCATAAATTTATAATTTTAGCCACATAAACTTAATAATAATCTAATACTACAATTTTTCACTTCGATCCTTCAACGCGTAGATTTTTCCATCATTTGGCACTTTGCGTACCCATTGATCTTTTTTGTCTTCCCTCATTCGTCACCTTGTGTAGATCTAATTCGATCACCATTTATCATTATTATTTAGGATCATCGAAAACTTGGATGATTGCCGATAGGATAATCGGTGGAAATAAACAAATTTAAAGTTTGCGATGGTGATCCTGTTTTATTATCGCTGTGTACAGCCTAACGTTCTTGAGAATTTTCTTTAGAGAAAATAGTTGGAATATTTCTTAGAAATTTTTTCTTTATTTCTAAACTGTTTGTACTTTTCGTCTTCTACCTGAAAGAATAAAAAGTTTATATTTTATAGTTTGCTTGCATCAGTAATAAAATTCTATTTATTATTTGTAATTATTAAATATACCAAATAACGTACGTGTCGTGAAATAAAAAAAAAATTTTTAAAGTGATATAATCTATCCCAAAATAAATATTATAGTATACTATTATACTACTATTGAAAATAAAAAAATTTTTTTATTCGGTAGTTTCATTCGATAAAATACTTGCTCAAATTTGCTACTGTATTTTTTTTAAATGGCTGCTTCTGAAACACCAAGAGATCGTAAAAACCGTCTTGCTAGAGAATCTTACGCACGCCGAAAATCGTTACTTACAGCTGAACAACTTGAACATCGTCATGCGCGGCAACGTGAAACCTATAGGCTTCGTACTGAAGCTGATTCAAGTGAACAAGCTGATTATCGACGTAATACTCTAATACTCGACGCGCAGCTTATATGCATCGTACTCAACAAAAACGTGCTTCTAATGCTGCCTGTATGCAGATGTATGATACTGCTACCATTGGTCGTCACGAGTTGGGACCAATGGATGTGGAATGTTCCCATTGTCATGCCCTACACTGGATAGAAGAAAAGGTGACTGGGGGTGTATTTAATTCAGTGTTTAGTACCTGTTGTGCGAATGGAAAAGTATCAACTGCCAATTATTAATCAACCACCTGAACCTTTACTTTCGTTACTCACTGGAGAAGATAGTAGATCCTGTAATTTTCGAAAAGACATTCGTAAGTACAATCCTACTCTTTTCGAATCCATGGCGATATGTACCATCTGATAGGTTCGCTTTTACCTGATAGTAACTTAATGCCCGCATTCTCCCAAATTTATTTTTATGATACATAATGCCTGATTTAGATTTGTTGATTCTTGAACAACTTCAATCTATGTTACATAATGTTAACCCATATGTCTACATCTTTCAACAAATTGCATATAGTTTACATGAAAATTCTTTTCAAACTTTAAATTTTGTCATTATTAAAGCACACAATGAACGTCAATACGTACCTCTCTCTGCATCAGAAATTGCTGTTCTTATGGTAGGTGATTGTCAAGAAATTGAACTATTAAACCGAGATATTTTACTCTACAAACAAAATGGTGGTTTACAAAAATTTCTCAAACCCATCGTTCTTATATTCCATTACATTATGTATTGCTTTTTCCATATGGTGATTCTGGATAGTACTCTTATATTCTTGCAAATAATACTGTTAATCATGTAAACAATAACTAAAATATTATGCATGAACATGATAATACAAATTCATCTTATGTTACAATGATGCAATACTATGCTTATCGTCTGCAAATACGATATTAGTGTTTATTAAAATCATTTGCATTGCATAGAAGTGGATGTTTATTACAGCAATATATTGTTGATACATATGCTTGCATTGAGCAAAACCATCTTAACTACTTGAAGCATAATCAAAAAAAAATTCATGCTGAATTGTACAGTGGGCTACAAGATGTACTTTCTATTTATGATGAATTGCCTCAATTTGGATCTCAAGTTGGTCATAAAGTCATACTTTCATCTAGTTTTGTTGGTAGTCCTCAAGATGCAATAATTATTGTTAGACAAATAGGCAAACCAGATTTATTTATTACAATGACATGTAATCCAAACTGATCAGAAATTCAATTAGCTTTATTGTTAGGCCAGACTTTACAAGATCAACCAGACCTTTGTTCTCATGTATTTTGATTAAAATTATGAGCTCTTCTTAAAAATATTTTTGAAAATGGCATTTTTGGTAAGAATCACAAAAATGTGGCCTTTTGCATGCACATATATTGATTATATTATTACCTGATTGCAAACTACGTATACCAGAAGATTTTGATCACATAGTATTAGCTAAAATTCTAGATCCTCTTATTTATCCATATGAATACGAAACTATAATACAGTGTATGATATGTGGTCCAGGTGGTATATATAATGTAGATGCTCCTTGCATATAAAATAGTAGATGTTCAAAAGATTATTCAAAACCTTTTCAATTAGTTACTAATCAGAGTAATTATAGTTATCCTATATATCAATGATATAATAATAATCATATAGTTAAAGTGAAGGTGTTGATCTTGATAATCAATAGGTTGTACTTCACAATTAGTATTTCTATAAAAAATTTAACTGCTATATTAATATTGAAATTTGCTCTTCAATATATAAAATCAAATACTTATTTAAATATATTTATAAAGGTCATGATCATGCCACAATTGCTCTTAATAATAATAATATAAATGAATTCAACAATATATTGATACATATTATATATTTGTATATGAATATATTTAGCATATTATGCATTATAAAATGCATGATGAAGCTTCTAATGTTATATGCTTAGTTGTACATCTTCTTAGTTAATATTTTATTACTTTTTCTGATAATGACCCTCTGAATATTATTCTCAAAATGAAAAACTATGTTAATAGCATGGTTTGAAGCAAACTGTAATCAAGATATTTTTCAAATAGCAAATAATCTAACTTATATTCAATTTTTTAGAATATTTGGTTTTGATAAAAATACAAAAAAATAAAGACAATATATTAGTAGATATGCTATTGGTCATATATATTTTGTACATCCAGGTGCTGGAGAATGTTATTATTTATATTTATTACTTAATATTGTATGTGGTATACATTTCTTTGAACATTTATATACTGTAAATAATATACTTTATACTACATTTAAAGATATATATCAAGTATTAGGTCTTTTGCAAAATAATTTAGAATGGGATTGATGCCTTAAAGAAGCATCTAAAATATATTCAGGCAACCGATTATGGTATTTATTTGCAACAATTTTAATAAATTATTATTTTACACATTCTGAACAACTTTGGGCTAAGTATAAATATAATATAAGTGATGATATTTTATATAACCTAGTTATAGATTATATAATTCAAATCTTCAGTTAACACAGCAAACTATTGAAAACTATGCTTTGCATATGTTGGATAATATTTTTATACAAGGTAAAACATTAAAAGAATTTCCAAAAATGCCTATTCCTAATATTGTATAAGAGTTTTCTAATCATTTATTAAACAATGAGCTAAACTATGATCAATATGTGTTTTGTAATTTTCTTGAAATTAATCTTCTATGTCTTAATTAAGATCAATGATATATTTATAATGAAGTTATAGAAGCAATTAAATAAAAATATTTTAAAATATATATTTGTTGATAGATTAGCTAGTTCCGGTAAAACATTTCTTTATAAAATTATATTGATATTAATTTGATCAAAAAATAAAATTGCACTTGCTGTCACTTCTTCTAAAATTGCCTTATTACTGCTTAATGGTGGCAAAACAGCACACCTTTGCTTTAAAATTCCTATTGAATTAAATAAAGATTCTACTTGCAACATATCTTTAAGAACAGACCTTGCTAATCTTACAAAGCAAACTATTTTAATTGTTTGAGATAAAGCTCCTATGTTACACCACCATGAATTTTTTTTTTTTTTTTTTTTTTTTTTTTTAATGTTAAAGGTGAGACCATGCTCTTATCTTTATTAAACTTAATGA